TAATAAAATGAAATTGAATTGCTCAAATAAAAAATACATAAAACTTGTGTTGCCATTAAACGATATAGTAAAGGATATGGGACTTTGATCGTGGTATCACTGGCGTGTCTGATCCAGACTAGATTCCTTCCGGGCCACCTTGTGCCGAGAATATTGCTGACTGCAGCGTTAAACAACATTCACTCATTGTGATTCGTTCATGGTCCAGTTCACAAAAAAGGTCACATGACATTTTTGGATTGAAACTTGGAGAATATATTAGAACGAGTAACCAAGCTGTTGTACACTATCTGACTTTATCTACAATTGGTTGACGTTAAAACTCACAACTGGAAACCTCGAAGAATACCAATATCATATCGATTTAGTAAAGATAACGTGTCCTGTCGATGACGTGTAACAATATCCTGCTTACTCCCACTACACGCGTCTAGGGTCTGTTACAGGAGCAACATCTCCAGTTAATGGAATTGACTGGTTTTTGACACTTCCGTTTATTGTGTTCACAAGACCAACATTTGTCTCGAACTCTTTGATAGTGTTCGGCAGCAAATGGGTTGATCTGAACTGGTCTCTTCGATTTTGTGGAATATGTTTACAAAGATAAACCTTACTGACGTGTTGCGACCGTGGGTTCGAATCCCAGATTCGCCCTGTAACCATTGTAACTCTCCGTGGATTGTCACTGTTAGCCTTTTGTCCGAGTTTCGCTACGATTATGATCCTCGGATCCTCCTTGCTTTCATCAGAATGGTCATCATGCAATGCAGTGATTGACGTCATGAGCGTCTACGCAATTGGGATAAGATGACATGCATCAACCAAGTCATCGAGCCTGAGCACCCGATCTCGTTAGTCGCCTCTTCACGCCTGGCAATACGTTGACTCAAGAAGAAGGTGAAATATATTCAGGTAGAATACTGTAAAGACCATTCTCGCGTTCTCGCATTCTCTCGCGATCTCCATCTTTGGAAATAAGCTAAATATGACAAAATGCGAGAATGCAAGAGTACGGAAAGGCACGGTTTGGCCCAAATCCTGCATTCGCGAACTGGTTATAAGGGGTAACGATCGACGTCACTTCGCGCTTTCCTTCCACATGTAGCTGACATGCCGGGATTAACAGGAGAGCTGTTCTGGCGTTAAACACAACTCACTCACTCACTAACTGCAGCACTAAACTACAACCATGTGATTAAAAGAGAATCTGTCCAACAGCAGCGTTAACACTACTCACTCATCACACAGTAACAGATTTCTTATATGAAATGGGATGAAAGTGAAAGACATATTCTGTTCAACATAACTTTAAGCAATATGTCTCCAACATTGTCTTTTTGATTAATACCCGCGCAACAAATTCTTCCTCAAACGCGATATATCAAATATGTTATGAACATCAATCATAATTACTTGAAAACCCAATTCCTTGTGGACGGTAATATGCTGTCTTCATTCGGATCTCTTACACGTGACGTCACGTCGTTTTATTATTGGCCTAGTTACATACACACCTCTCGCCTCCTGTCACTGATGAGATGGAGTGTGGTTCTCATTTGTCGCGGATTTTGACAAATATAGCTTTATCCGACAATCTTTACCTGATGAAGGTTGTGTAACTGATAATTATAAGTGACTTATGGTGCCCATGCATTGTCACATCAGCGTGGGTGGTAATAGCAACATACCTATTAGAATAAACATACCTCAGATATTGTTGTGCTACATCGATAGTCGTTGCATAACTGGTTAATTTGCTCGTCAAATTTTGTTAGGCGGTTATATAATTGGTTGGAAATATGGTTTTGTATCTTTGACGGAAACGACGTTTGTGTTGCGGGTATGTCAAGGTGTATTTGTCTGTGGTCAAATTAGCCGTGACAATCTTTCCAGTGAGTGAGTGAGTTGGGTTTAACGCCGCTTTTAACAGAAATACTGCTGGAATATTGCGGCGTAAAACAACAAACACTCATTGAAGATGACATATGTCAGAAATCTGACAATGGTTTCTGTGGTTTCATGGAATCGATTCCATCGTTTCAAAGGAAATTACGTATTTGACCTTTCAGAAAGTTCGTACGTCGGATGGCGGAAATAACATCGTATCCCAATCGATGCTAACGATGTCAAGCACTGGATTGTCTGGTCTGGCCCTTAGTCGGGCTAAAAGCCTTTGATCGAGGATTATGTGGACTTATTTACAAACCGCTTTCACATAGTGTGAATAGTTGAGTGTGCTTCGTTAAACAACAAACCAAACACAAACAAACATATATAAAAATAAAATCCAATCCTTCTGTGTCATTTCTGACGTTACCGGTACACAGGGGCGGTTGGGTAGCCAAGTGGATAAAGCGTTCGCTAGTCACGCCGAAGACCCGGATTCAAATCCCCACATGGGTACAATGTGTGAAGCCCATTTCTGGTGTCAAACGCCGTAATATGCTGGAATAGTGCTAAAAGCGGCGTAACACCATACTCGCTCATTCCCTCCCGGCTCACGTGGATCTTAAGAACAGACATAATTATTTATCCGCGTTATACCTTGATGCCTGTCTCTATTACAGGCTGGGCCAGGTGAGTCTTGTTTGGGAAATATTAAACGTCAACGCCAGAGAATAGTCGGCTTCGATTATCTGCCGAAACGGATTCCACTGGGAGTGAAAATAGTAGTGAAAGTTATTTGAATGGATCACTGTAAGTCAGTGATGACACCAAGTGGTCGCGAAAGGGGTACCGGTAGCACCCTCCACTCACACCATTTGCATTAAAAAGTAAGTGTTTGTTTGTTGCCTAAAGCCACACAGCGGTACCCCTGCCATAAGTGAGTGAGTGAGTGAGTATGGTTTTACGCCGCTTTTAGCAAAAATCCAGCAATATCACGGCGGGGGACACAAGAAATGGGCTTCACACATTGTACCCATGCCGGGAATCGAACCCGGGTCTTCGGCGTGACGAGCGAACGCTTTAACCACTAGGCTACCCGACCGCCCCTCCCTGCCATAAGACCGCAGTCTGTGAACCATGCCTACCAAAACCGGATGGATCTTGCACTCGTCCTGCATCCTACCCACAATCGGTGAATAACAGATTGGAACTTCTGGAGCCGTCTTGCAACTAAGTTGTTTTGCAAGCAGCGAAAGACTGATTCAACCTTTTATAGCCATGTGTATTGATTCACGGAAATCAAGAAAAGTGTGTTTTGTTGCATTGGGTGAACAATGTTAATACTTTGCATATCGGAAACAAATATATTCATATGTTCCCGTTTTAAGTGAACAATTGACTTGCCTTTACATGTGTTTGTGACGGGTGCAACCGATGAAATACTATTTTCGACATCGCACATTTCGTCTTGTCGGGAATGAACTGAACTGTTTGAACTGCACGTACAGAAAGTGCCGGGCAAAAGAAGGTAATTAAGTTTGTAATCATTTACTGTTTTAGTCAAATCCATTTTTCAAGTGTATACTTTCTTTGGCCCTGTTTATATATCAATCCTCTTTTCTCAATCGTCTTCGTCTCCTGAATCGAAAGTAAGGATTTTCTGTAAATCATTTATATAACTTTCACCATTATTTTGTATTTTAGCCCAATGGAATCTGTTTCGGCGAAAAATTGAGACTTGTTTTTCTCTGGCGTTGACGTTTAAAATTAGTATATAACATTCAACGAACAAAAAACATTATTTTGGGAACAACATTGATATGGTAGGAATGCTTGGATTTGAGGCCACACAAATCAATTTCTTGTGCCACCGGTGAGGCAGGATACGATTACTTTTTCGTGAACACCTGGTGTCATCACTATTTTATAATGAGTAATAAACACATGCTTTTAATTATGAAAATGCTTATGGTTATGAAAAGGGTTTTGTCGCTGTTATATTTTACACTTGAATATTTTTTTAAAATCTATTAGTATAAAGAAAAACAAAACAAACTTGCAATGAGCATCGTTTTAATATATCTGGCGATATGATATTCTGTTTGTATTTTGGAAAAATTAAAGTAAGGTACAGACAATTACATGCTTTCATTTTCATTTCATTTCTTATCAATATGCACCGGAAGTCTAGCCACGAACATGTACGTAACGTTCGTCCAATAAATAATTGCTAAATACCATAAGGTTTCACCCGTCTTTGACTATTGGTAGAATACTGGAATGTTCACAAATACCACATCGTATTCTGGCTCTTGACGTCAATAAATTAGCTGCTTCTTTAAAACTATATACACCATTGCAGAAAATACATACCACGATTGTCACGAATCTGTAACGACGGGTATGTTTGTAAGTAATGTTCCATAAGGAATACATATCTCACGCTGATCAGCCACTTTCAAACTCAGGGAGAGAGTGAGGTTTTTTTTTACGCCGCATGAAACAGTATTCCAGTTATATCACGGCGTGTCAGCTTAAGGTATGAGGAAACCCGAAGTGATGCAGGTCATGACGTTTACCACTTCGGTGAAACCCACGAGCACAGGTATGATGCTGACAAACCTAGAACTATAATCAGGGCGAACCGGGATTCGAACCCACGATCATAGGTTCCTGGCGTGCCTAAGGGAGGCAACTGTACACAGCGGTCCCCGTGCACAATTCACATTTACAATTTTTCATAGCAAAATTCCGAAAATGACAGACAAGATAACCTTGGTTTATATTTGTGTATAAACAATCTTGAACATAATAATATAATCTAAATATGTATAATTTCCTTGGTCATCAAATACTACATTATCCCCTTGTAAGCATGACGCGATTTTCTAGTGAGCCCAGTTGATTTTTGAACAGGAACCAAAAATATATACAAAATTATCATTTGTATAACCGTCTATATCCCCTGAAAAAAACATACTTCAGGAAGTGGAGAAAAACATACTTCAAGTAGAGGGTAAGTTTATATTTATCGAATTTACTTTTTTAATACATATTGTATATTTTATACTGCTCCATTTGATGACGAATGTCCTAATCAGAATAAACCGACGTTTCGTGAATAATGTTTATTTGAAAGCGAATCATCGGTTATTGTGAGGAATACATGGTGAGCTGGCAAAAGGCATATACCTCATACCTTAGATATCGTAGCATAAAGAAAACCAAATAAAGCTATCTATGAGATCTTATACAAATCATTTCAAAGATTTTAACGTCTTTAAAATTGTCGTAGAAACAGTTGTATCCTTCGCATATATACTGAACAAAACGTTAGGGATCCTAAATCTTTTTGAGGATATGTTCATGAAATTGTATGATCAGTCTTCACTACTGAAATCCCCCAAAATAATTCATGATCCCTAACAGTTTTTGTTCTGTATATATCACAAAGATAACGAACATATTACATGAATATATCGCCCATGCATTATCAGCTTTGAAGCATTGTCAGGTACAGTTCCAACTCAGTCATATCCGATCATCGTACATGGGTATGCATTTCTATGTTTTTTAATATCATACGATAACAAAACCAGTTAACACAAAGTATAGTTTTATACTTATAGACGTGTTGAACTTTAGCAAACATGTATTATGCTCATGTCACTTAAAAATAATTAAAAATTGAAAAATATAACGGCATTGCCAAATTAAACTCTCCCATCTGGCACTGAACTCAAGTATTCTGTCAAGTGATTTCCACGACAGTCCTACGTTTATATAATTTATATATATTTCGTTTGTAAAAATATTTTAACTCTGTGATGTTATTTTGCTGTAATGTGACTTTGTGTCCCATAGATGCCAACGAATCATTTGTAGAATATCCCAAACTCAAGCCGTTCTGAATTCTTCACGGAGACTTTCTTCAGTATCTATGGTGTGGTCTCCATGAACGCTGACACCCATGGCATTGGTGTCTTTCACCCACTGTTTTCTTCCATGACATTCTGGATCCAGTCGTGGTAGGCGTTGATACGCGTGAAGACGCTGGGGTAACCGCTGACGTCACAGTTCTGCGTCCCCCAGGAGACGACCCCGGTCAGGTAGAACTTGCCATGGTACCGACAGGACAGAGGACCGCCAGAATCACCCTGTAAAACGGACATAATTCTAAACTGATATCGCCCTCGCATAAATCGATATGAATTGAGCATATGTTTTATTCCCTTTCAAAAGACCTTTGAGACTAAAAGAAACGGATTATCCTTCGGCATAATCGTGCTGCCAACATTCACAGCGTTTGTTGATGTTTGCGATCATTCTCAATGGCTTAACGAAAAGAGTAGCATAAGCTGTTAAGACATTTTATCCTTTAATCATTAAAGTGATATCATGTTTGCTTCATCACTTTGATTTCTATAAATATATTTTTCTTTTCATAGGATTCATACACTCCGGCGAAGTGGTTTAACAAGGACACAAAGGGCAGAGAAACAATTCTCTATTTTGGAAAGTAAAGGCGTTTGAAACGAACGGTTGCAACACAAATGACATGAATGGATGGAGAAGCGGTTAAGGTGAGAAGCAGTAGTCTTGTAAGTGTCACAGAGAAACGCTGCAGCTCATTTCCAGATCCAGCGACATGGTCTAAACGGCCCCAAAAGATCATCTATCAGGAACAGTTTCATGTTGAAATACTGAAAACTGCTACCAACGAGTACGCGACACGATCAATAAACGGCTCTCTTTCATTGAGAGCCGCTTTAAGGTCATCATTCATTTACTAAGCCTACGGGGCAGTTTTAACGCTTCCTTCAAAATACAGTTAGAAATATTTCTAAGATCTCAGGGTATTTTTTCATCCCATTGAATAATTGAGTTATATACTTCAATCACATGTTCTTCATGACAACAACCGAGATATTTACCAAGAGAGAGAGAGAGAGAGAGAGAGAGAGAGAGAGAGAGAGAGAGAGTGAGAGAGAGAGAGATAGGGAAGGAGAGGGAATGTTGATTGCTGAGACCCCTAAGCGGCAAGTATTTGGGAATACGTGGTTGGGTGCAGATCATACCCTTAACACTGGCGAGAGAGAGAGAGAGAGAGACAGAGAGAGAGAGAGAGAGAGAGAGAGAGAGAGAGAGAGAGAGAGAGAGAGAGAGAGAGAGAGAGAGAGATATACAGGGGATCGAAGAGGGGTATAGATGAAAGATAGGGAAAGGGGCGACACGGCAAGGACACAATACTTTTCTAAAACAGTCATAATTTAACACATTCGTTCTCTTGTTCCCAAAGCGTTTATGAATACTAAACATGATAATACAATTGCTAATATCAAAATGTAATACTTATATTCTTATATATATTACGACAGTACCAGAAACCCGATTTATCGAAGAAACATTTATTTACTTATGACATCATATGATAAATAGAGATTACTACACAGTGTAAGATACCATTTATCTTTTAGCGAGTTGATTCAAAAAGGTACATGCATCTAACGAACGAAAGCGAGCTGGATACTTTTTTGAAACAACGAGTTATAAGATGAATGGTGTCTGACAGGCACGAGTGCAGTAATCTGTTTCTTACACATCCTAAAATCGCACCTTCTTAGCATCGAATCGATACATATTTTGTATGTTCTCGTGATCACTGTGGCTCATTAATACATAACACAACGGTCATTTGTGACGGCATCCGGTATTGCTTACTACCCATACCTTTTGTGACCCTCCACAATAAACGTTTCCGCCGTATCTGTGGATTATCAAGGCGATGATGATAATGCAAACTTAACAAGACCAAAGAACATTTATCAACACACTAAAACATTTTCGACACAGACGTAGGTGAATTCGACCGGAGCACCAGCAACTTGTCAATGAATGACGATCAGAAAAGTAGTCCCTCATAATTTGACCTTAGGTCATCACCATAGAGTAGCCAATCACGGACCTGGAATTCGATCTCACACAAAGGTGTCACACCGGTTTATCTCAAATGGGTATGTAAGAAGCTTGTTCCTGTGTAATGTGTATGCGTCGTACCTGACATGGACCGTGCACACCGTCTCCAAAGCAGATCATATCATCATCCAGCTGTGTGTGCCACATCTCGCCACAATCTCGATGTCCAACGAGATCTGCATGGACCTGTCTCATCACCATGTCTCTGGATTCATCTGGGCATGGACAAAAATTACGTGTCAACACTTCTGAAGGTTCTGCAAGATCGATGAAACACATACATCTTAATTCACATGTACATGTTGAAATGTAATCTAACTTTCAGCACTGAAGCCTTTTCTAGAAAGCGATGCTAGCGCCAAGGTTGTCATTTACTTTAACATATAGGTAAGGCTGTGACGGGGTTCCAGTCGTCTGAAGCACCGCAATTCGTTGTGCAGAGTTGCGACCCTTGGACACGCCAGATCATGGGTTCGTGTGTTCGCCCCGATTGTGTTTCTAGGTTTGTCAGCACCATACCCGTGCTCGTGGGTTTCACCAAATTATACGTCTACGAAGTGCTGCACTTCGGGCTTTCCTCCCACACCAAGCTGACACGACGAGATGTAACTAGAATACTGTTCAAACCGCGATAAACCCAACTCACTCACTCACTTAAGGTACGGGAGTGCATTGTCGAACTGACTTTCTGGCTGCAAAATAGCTATCGGTTAACGGGAACATACAAGTAACTATGTGATACTATTCCTAGTTGAGTGTCAACATATAGTGTATATTAGTTGAAATGTGGGTTCAATATATGTAGGAATAACTGACAACCAATTGTATATTTGTGAAAGAATAATTGATACTTGAGACGTGGCATTCTTATTTTGTGACGTGTTGGTCTTGTTGGTATCGTCCTTCAAGACCCAATTACTCACTTTGAAGACGCACCTGGTGACAATAACTATGGCATATTCCGGGAAAACAATGAATGTTTTGTAAGAACCTAGAGTATCCTGACTACTTAAAATTCAGTTTAAGCTCGCGAGGCCACGAATAGTATTCATTTGGTAGACCAGCTGGTACTAACGTTATATGAAGTGCTTTAAGGCACAAAAGTTATTTCGTGCATAAGGAAGGCAATCAATGTTGAGTGAGATAGGGTGAACGCCCCGCTTTGAACAGTATTCCAGTTATATCGTGTCAGCATGAAGTGTGAAGAAAGCCCAAAGTGATGCAGCTCTCAGCAGTTTACCATTTTGTTGAAACCCATGAGTGCGTGTATGGTACTGACAAACCTAGAAACATAATCGGGGCGAACTGGGATTCGAACCATCGTTTGTAGGTTTCTGGCGTGTCAAAGAAACGCATCATTGCGGCGCTTTAGTCGACTAGACCATCCGTGTCCCCTACAGTATCTGTAGAAAGCTCGTTAGAACAGATAGCATCATGACACAAAATCAACCATACAGAACAAGCAATGCCGATATACAAAAGACAAATAAAATCCTCCTGTGCCGTACCATTTGTATATCCCCACCCGGTGACCCAACAATCGCCTCTCCTCTCAATTCTCCCCATAGTCAGGTACGGGTCTGCACCGGAACCAGCACTCGGACCGGAACCGGAATGGTTCTCATCCGGGTCCCCAACATCCGGTTGCGCGAGACATATGGGCATGGTATCGGTAATGTCGCTGAGCTTTACCAAGGCGATGTCGTGCTTGTAGCGGACGTACTGGGTGGTGCTGTTGTCGTCGGTGGAGTTACTGCTGGGGTTAAACTGATATTGTGGGTACTGGAAAAAGACATGTGTTACGTTTTTAGTTGACGCTATATCACAAGACATGTTCCAGAACAAGGGATCGTGCCATCGGTATGACAGGACATGCTTACACCTGGTATCATTACTGATTTTCAGTCATCCAGTTATATAATTTGCATCGTTATTTTGTCTTTTACTTCCAGTGGAATCTGTTTCGGCGGATATCGAGTCTGGTTAGTATCTGTCCTTGATGTTTCATATTTAGCTAACATCGATCTATTATGTCCGATAATCAAGAAGAATATTATGTTATTTAAAGGCATTTAGAAGTTACGGCTATCAAATGGCAAATTCATGATCTGTATGTCCGAGAAACCCAATGATATATATAAGCATGACGTTATCAACAATACTGGTAAGAACAAAATCGATAAGAACAAAATCGACATAACCAGAACACTTTACTAGAACAGACTGTTCCTCATCAAATTGTTACCAGATGCTTAAAATATTGACACACATTGTGTGTATACACGATATCAACATGCTACATGCAACTCTCTTGGTACATGTTTGATTTCCTTCAAAGTGATCACAACCAGATTTCGGGTCCGATTATTCGCTGTACATGGTTGAGTCCTTGGCGTACTATAAAACTACAATAGTAGGTTCGAATCGTCCTAATAACGTTTCTTGGTTTGTCAGCATCGTGTTCGTGGGTTTCATAACAGTTGTAAACGTCTGAGACCTGCATGACTTGAGGATTTCCTCCCACACACGGTGATGTAACTGATCGTGAAACATTGTTCAACGCGGCGTTAAACCCACATCTTAATACATTACATTATGTGCAGAGTAATCAGATTATGGTAACGCAGCTGAACGCTCTTACAGAACTATCACTCACTTCAGTGTTAACTGTATAATATAGGATGACGTATACAAAGAACGTTTCCTTAAACACTTCATTCAATTTGTTAATTCTAACACTATCAGTTAGAAGAAGAGCGACCTGTATTATTTTACCATTGCATTTTTAGACTCGGGAGGGGCTATTGGAGGTGGATTCGTGTAGAGAGTCTTCGTAACATGTAATGCGTTATTGTGATAAGTATGAGGAGAAATGTATTGCCAAAAAAAGACAAAATAGTCAGTCAAAGGTGCACATGTTTAGAACGGAAACCGGATTCCTTCGTGAAAAGGAAACGCACGAGTGAGTGAATATTAGCAATATTCCAGCAACATAAATTGCATCGGAAACCAGAAAAGGGCTTCACTATATATAACCTATGTTGGCAATCGAAACCGGGTCTTCGGCATGACGAGCGAACGCTTTAAGCTCTAAGCTACCCCACCGCACAGATGATGCATTTCCCATGCAATTACACAGTGCTAGTTGCAAAGTATGTCTCTGTCTTATATCCACTGTGAAAACATGAAAAACCCGTTTTGACATCAATGGATGTTCAGTATGGAGATTACTCAGTGTTGCCATTCTTGTAACACTGATTATATAGTCGTGGGATGAAACAACACCGAGCACTGTGACAGTTATCCCCTAGCCTGCTGAGTGTATGTTAAATCATCCGACTGACGGAAAATCAATACGATGCGAAATCCGAACTTAACACCGTTGCTTACCACAAAAATGTTGGCAATAGGAAGATCTGCCTCGCCTTCATCTATGCGTAACAGATGATATTCTCCAATTCTAACACGCCACATGTTTGGGGACAAAAATCTGAAACCATAAAATATATAGTTAATTGCGCGGTGTTTTCGGTTGAACTTAACTGCCAGGCAAAATAAATTATATATTTGAAAATTGGACTTGTGAGAAAAAATTACACACGTTATCGACACGTTACTTGGCTCAAAACACCGACTACAAACACAACTATGATATTCCTACCAGTTACATGACCATCGAATACCCATTTGATGCCTGAAAATGATTTCATTTTTAAACCTGCGATTAAACTGTGGGTTCTAAATTATATTAATGTGAGAATACTGATTTTTGGTATCCAACCGAACTAAGTTTCACCATCTTCCCGAGACAAGAGAGTTAACTGACTATAAAAGTCCAGTTTCCACCCTTGCCGAACTAGGCTGGTATTATGGAGTTACATTTTGTCTGGACAAACGAGTCTGTGTATAGTCCAATCAAAATCGCGCAACGGAATCGAAATCCGGATCGTAAACTGTCCTGCAGATTTCGTTCGATTGCAGGATTTGTGAAGCATGTGCACCGCCAACTCGTTGCCAACAGATATTTTCCAAATCTTTTCAATTTTTTAATCAAGGTGCTCACGTGATTTGATGCACTTCGCGATGTAAGACCCGTTTGATCACAATATAGATACTGATTATCGATCAGATCGTCTTGACTGGGCGCCGCCATTTTGTTTGAAGCAAATGCAAGTGATACGAGAGGTGCCATCTAATTGGTCCTTAGGAGAGGCTTTGAGGGGACATAACTCGAAATAGGCCACTGGTGACGCTACGATCGAGCCCAGGAATTCAAGCCTAGTTCGGCAAGGGTGGAAACTGGACTTGTATACTCAGTTAACTCTCTTGCCTCGGGAAGATGTAGTTTCCCCAACGCATGAATTATCCAGAGTTAACTAAAAAAGAAATGTTTGGGTCGGGACATTAACCTCTTACCCCCTCCTCTCACCTCTCCCCACACCCCACCTCACTGTGTTGCAAAACGAACGTATTTCTTAAACGTCTTTCTTATAAGTAGCAGAATCTCTGCACTTGTACGTAATCAAAACTAACAAGTCGTTAATTTTATAGTGCCAAATCAGTAAATTCTCTTTGGTGTCAGTGATATCACTTGATTATCTGGTTTGTCTACAGGACGCCGTTGCACGGCGATCTTTTCATATAGTTTTCACCTCTATTTTGCCTTTTACGCCCTGAGGAATCTGTTTCGGAGTATAATCCAGACTGGTTATTCTCAGGTGTTTTATCTCTAGGTTTATTGACAGCCATGGGCATCCTTCTCGCGATCACCTTGTGTCGTTATTGTCGTTGTTTTGAGCTTTTGGCTGGTTGTTTGTTTATTGTTTAACGCCGCACTCAGCAATATTCCAGCTATGTTTTAGCTTTTGGACATCCATACATTTAACATGACAAAATATCGTAAACTTTCTTCCACCGGGTGCACAAAATACATTCACATGTTTACTTAGAGAAATAAGTATATTCATTGTCACTCACTGTCTGAAGCAGTGAGCAGCCGTGACAACCCATTGTTGACCAATCAGAGCACCGCCACACACGTGACCTCCCAGTGCAGACCTCAAGGCCACCAGCCAAGGCCACGCTCCCGGCTCGGCGACACTTCCGCCAACGATTCTCTTCCGGCGATGCATCGGGTTTGTCCGACCGCATTCCGCTGTAAACATCAAATGTTTGTAAATGACCTTCAATATTTTGTGTAATATTTTGCGAAAATTTAAATTCGAGCAAAATAATTGTAAAAAAAAATCATGGCGATGCAACTTCGGAGCTTTAATCATATTGTCAGTAACCTGTCAATGCGGACAAACGGACTATGGTCTTGTAACAGCGTCCATTATTACTGTGTATGGAGCGCTTCCGTTCTGGTTGGGATTGAATTGGTTTGTTCCAATTCCGTTTCTACTGTTTCAGCAACAGCAACACCATGCCATGCACTAACGTAACCAACTCTGAAATACATTCCACAGGTTCGTCTTCTCGTTGGCCAATGTTTCGGCATGCGGTTCGACATCAGTCATTGTATGCATCCTTGTGACCGGGCGCCAGTACCGTTATTTGTCGCTTGTTCACTTATTCTCTCAGTCATCCCACACATAATCTCTCTGTATATCACACATAATCTCTCTGTATATCACACATAATCTATCTGTATATCACACATAATCTCTCTGTATATCACACTTAATCTCTTTGCAAACTACACGTATTCTTTCTGAATGTCACACGTATTCACTCTGTATACATGTATCACACAAATTCTCTCTGTATATCACACTTTTTCACTCTGTATCTAACAATTATTCACTCTGTATCTCAATTATTTTCTCTGTAAATTGCACTTTTTCTCTTTGTTGATCACACTTTTTCCCTCTGCATCTCACACTTATACAATCTGTATATCACACATATTCCCTTTGTATATCACAATTATTTTCTCTTCATTACACACTAATTCACTCTGTATAACACACTTATTTATTCTCTCTGCATCTCACACTAATTCTTACCGTATCTCACAATTATTCTGTCTGTACATCACACTTATTCTCTCTGTAATGTGCACTTGTTCTCTCTGTATACCCCTTCTTTCTGTATATCACACTTATTCATTCTGTATAACGCGATTATTTATTCTCCCTGCATCTCACACTAATTCTCTCCGTATGTCACAATTATTCTCTCTGTAATGTGCACTTGTTCTCTCTGTATACCCCTTCTTTCTGTATATCACACTTATTCATTCTGTATAACGCGATTATTTATTCTCTCTGCATCTCACACTAATTCTCTCCGTATCTCACAATTATTCTCTCTGTAATTTGCACTTGTTCTCTCTGTACATCACACCCCTTCTTCCTGTATATCACACTTATTCTCTTAATTTCAAACTAATTCACTCTGTATAGCACGATTATTTATTCTCCCTGCATCTCACACTAATTCTCTCCGTATGTCACAATTATTCTCTCTGTAATGTGTACTTGTTCTCTCTGTATACCCCTTCTTTCTGTATATCACACTTATTCATTCTGTATAACGCGATTATTTATTCTCTCTGCATCTCACACTAATTCTCTCCGTATCTCACAATTATTCTGTCTGTACATCACACTTATTCTCTCTGTACATCACACCCCTTCTTCCTGTATATCACACTTATTCTCTTCATATCACACTAATTCACTCTGTATAGCACGATTATTTATTCTCCCTGCATCTCACACTAATTCTCTCCGTATGTAACAATTATTCTCTCTGTAATGTGTACTTGTTCTCTCTGTATACCCCTTCTTTCTGTATATCACACTTATTCATTCTGTATAACGCGATTATTTATTCTCTCTGCATCTCACACTAATTCTCTCCGTATCTCACAATTATTCTCTCTTCATGTCACACTTATATCACAATTATTCTCTCTGTTCACTTTACTTATTCTGTGTAATTCACTCTTATTCTTCCAGTACACCACACGTATTCTCTCAGTAAATCACCCTGCTCTTACCATTCTGCCCAGTGTTCAGCACAAATCCTCCAGTAGACTCCCCAGTGTCTAGCGACATCATTTTCGCTGTCGTTGTCGTTGTTGTAGGAACTGTTGTTGTCATTACCGTCGTTGATGTTGGCGTAGTAGTGTCATTGCTTGAATCGGCATCTGAAGAAACATCACAAATGTGATCACTTTCGTGACGATGATCAAAGTTATAGCGCGGATTACACAAGGATTAGTTCTAATCCACCAAAATGAAACGTGAGCAGGCAAAGGTAAAAACTAAATAACTATGGTATTTCTTGTCTTAAGGAAGATAAGGGGTATTTGTCACCCTGTCTTAACGTTCAATGTTGACTGTTCTGTTATGTCATGTTTTATAAAAGTGGCTTTCAGTCCGTGTTAATCTTCAGTATTCAGTACTGGTATTGGCCGCTTTCACTACAGAACAACTAAAATAATCCTTAATTTGGGAGACTATATCTGTTTCAAGTTTCAAGTTTAGCTGGCAGAATTTTAGATGATCCTTCTTCCTTTTCGTCGTGCGGACGTCGTTTACTTGTTCCCAGATCTAAAATGGCTCTCATTCCTGATAGGATTTCTTTGAGGAAACCGTTTTCTGTTGTACATCATCAGTTTTTAAAATTTCCATTTTTAACGTGTGCTGCTTAACTTAATTGTCTTTATAACGAGTTTTTGTCCTTATTTACAATCTATTTTACATTACTGGAGTAAAAAGAATTCCCTAACGGGTAGTAAACAATTTTTAATAGGAATGAGAGTTAACGGTTAATACTATACGTGAATGTCACTATATATTAGAGGTCAGCGAGCACCATATCCAGCTTCATTAAAACATAGTCTACCCTTGTTATAACGCCAGGAAGATTTGGGCGTTATAACAAGGGATACCATTCCAGCTAGGATCTTGGCGTGATTCCAATAATTGACAATGTTCGCAGGGGTTACACGATCCCAGCGTTTATTCACGTAGAGGATGACATCACTCAGCAGGGGCGGTCGAGTATTCCTAGTGGTTAAAGCGCTCGCCCATCACGCCGAAGATCCAGGTTCGATTCCCCACATGGGTACAATGTGTGAAGCCCATTTCACGTGTCCCCCGCCGTGATATTGCGGGAATATTGCTAAAAGCTGCGTAAAACCATACCCGCTCACTATCACTCAGCAGAACAACGGGAGCTTGTTGATTGGCAATACACTCATCCTTTGTTTGAAGGACTGGATCACAGAGAGAGAAATTATTTATTTAAGTTTCACTTTCTGTACAGTAGCACGTGATCCCGCACGATCATACTTAGACCTGTTCTCTCACAAACCCACGCACACACGCACAATTACGTATACAGTTTAAACTTATTTTACTCAAATTATCTTGACAAGGATTGGTAAACAGACCTAACTGGCTTATGTAAATACCGCTCCCTGTTACATAATTATATTTATGTTAACATCAAAACTTAAAGGTCAAGAAACATTACATCTTATATAATAAGAAGCCACTTATGTTGCCAAGACTACAGTGAGTGAGTGAGGTTCCAGCAATATCGCGGCGGTGGACACCAGAAAAGGGCTTCGCACATTGTACCCATGTCGGGAATTGAACCCGAGTCTTCGGCGTGACGAGCGAACGCTTTAACAACTGGGCTACCCGATCGCCCCGCCAGCACTATGCGTGTAAGCTTAACATACATTTATACTTAAAGTGCAAAATTGCACTATTTTCTATAAAATCATGGACAGACATAAGTATAATTTTTATACATATGTCCATACATAGTTAAAGCAGTATTTCAAAGTTTATAGATATTGCCTTGCGTATTTAAGAGGTGCATGAACGTTTCGACTGATGAAGAGTTCACTTTGTTAAAAGATGGGATCATGTCATTCGACTTCATTTCAGTGAACAGTCTACAACGTAAGTCAGTGGACATAACGCATTCTTTGAGGAAATGTAGTCTATAAAATTCTGTTCACAGCAGCGTTAAACCCAACTTACTCACACACGCACTATGTCCACTAGAATGTAATACCAGGTCTGAATGGCACCGGGTGCACGTGTGGCCCAGTCTCCTAAGGAGTTACAACAGCTGTGCAGATTCCTTTAGGCGTGCAAGAAACCTATGATGGTTGGTTTGAATCCCATATTCGCCCCGATTATGTTTCTGCGTTTGACAGCACCAAACCTACATGTGCTCGTGGATTTCACCAAAGCGGTTAACGTCTGGGACATCCATCACTTCTGGCGCAATGCGTTGGGCAGAGTTGCATCTCTTCGGTACGCCAGTAATTTATAATTGTGGGTTCGATTCCCGATTCACCCTGACGCTGGTTCTGGGTTTGTCAGCACCAAAGCTGCATGTGGTCTTGGTTTTCACTAAAGTAGGACTTACTATCTCCTACGTAGGACTTAGTGTGGCCTAGAATTACTATCTCCTACGTAGGACTTACTATCTTCTACGTAGGACTTAGTATCTCCTACGTAGGACTAACTATCTTCTACGTAGGACTTAGTATCTCACACGATGTCCCATGATACGGAAGCGTAGTAGGGCATCGGTGAAATTTATTTTGTCTACGTATCTCCTACGTAGGACTTAGTATCTCCTACGTAGGACTTACTATCTTCTACGTAGGAGATAGGAAGTCCTACGTAGGAGATACTAAGTCCTACGTAGGAGATACGTAGACAAAAAAATAATTTCACCGATGCCCTACTACGCTTCCGTATCATGGGACATCGTGTGAGTTATCGTCAGTAACTGTCTTAACGAATGACGCCTACTCAACCTCATGACACACATGATGTCATACCGGGTGCCACCCATCATAGATTTAATCCATTTACATGGACAAGTAAATCAGTCATTGTCCTGATCAATTGTACACAGTATGTTAAATTTGTATGTGGAAATATAGCAACTAACCCGATCTCCTTCTTTGTCAGAATGATCAAATCATCAGGTTACTTAACGTTCACTCGCACTGGAAACACTAATTAGGGACAAAGGTGAGATAACCCCATTAAAGCAATCGGAATTTTCGCCCAAGGTAACAATCTTGTAATCCAATTTGAAATGAATCATTTTCAATTATAGTCATATTTTTGACAGCTATTATCATTATCAGTTACATTGAGCTGGAAAAGGATTCAATTGGACAAACGTTTTATCATTAAGCCGATGACGTCATCGTTAGGCGCCGATGCTGCGTTGGGCCAAGGGGCCGGAGTGATGATGATGAAGGGTCGGTGCTATGTCTAACTACTGGACTGGATCTGTATGCTGGTGTGTCTTAACAATGACGGATTCTGCATGCAGCGTTAAGACATGGAAACGGTGGTCACTGAGTCATGTTCGTAAGTGGATGCGTCACCAGGAAGAGTGTGTGAGTATGGTTTTACGCCGCTTTTAGCAATATTCCAGCAATATCACGACACCAGAAATGGGCTTCACACATTGTACCCATGTCGGAAATCGAACCCGGGTCTTCGGCGTGACGAGCGAACGCTTTAACTACTAGGCTACCCGACCACCCCGTCACCAGGAAGAAGACCAACTCTGTGATAAGGCTACTTTGGTATGCTTGCTCGAATAGCTACAATGTTTGGCTGTTGGTGGGTCTGCTGATTTGAAGAGAGTGTGACTGAAAAGTGAGATAAGCGTGGATTTTCAAAATTTTATTATTTAACGTATCTGATAATAGGGTATGGACATTATCTTGCAGTTCTTCTTCAAATGTAGAGACATTTTTTTCAAAGGGAAAGGGTTTTGTCACTCGTTCCTTCATAGTATTTTGTTTGTTTGTTGTTTAATGCCGCAATATTCCAGCTATATGACGGCGGTCTCTAAATAATCAAGTCTGGACCAGACAATCCAGTGATTGACATCATGAGCATCGATCCACGCAGTTGGGATACGATGACATTGATCAACCAAGTCAACGAGCCTGACCACCCGATCCGCTTGGTCGCTTCTTAAGACAAGCGTAGTCGCATTCTATGGCAAGTATGGGTTCCTGGAGACGTATTCTACCGCGGATCTTTACGGGTATCCTTTATAGTGTTAATGTGTTTGGTATAACTCCGCCTTGAAAAGTATATCACGTGTCAGCTTAATGTGGGAGGAAAGTCCGACGTAACGCTGGTTTATACCACTGAAACACAAAACCATGGGTAGGATGCTAATATAACCAGGAATCAGAACCTGGTGGAGTCTGGTCTTCGAAGAACACAAGCATCCTGTAATGCCTAAGGGACGCAACTCTGCACACGGAACAAATGCGCTTAATACGACATCACAGAAATGGGCCAAGTCAAACTTGTCAATCTTTACATGTACATCTATTTTATTGTTTGTGTTTCGGTCTATCCATCGCACAGGGTCACAAACAGTCTAAATTAACCGGGGCAAATTTCCGACTGGGAATAGTTTGACCGTAGCCCTGGCAAAATGTATTTAGATACTCGTATAAAACGATCTGGTCATGTATACACTGAACTTGACTGAAGTTGTATCTTTATGCAAACATATAAAGTCCGAAGGAATGCAAACATTAGTCACTTATAGTGTATAACCATGGAGTTCTTGACAAATGTTGTCATCAAACAATATATCAGGTGATTAACCACGGGTCCGGGTAGTCCTGTGGGTATCCGGGTCCTTCTCGGTACCCACCCGACCCCAGTACCCGAATGACCCGTCCCAGCCCTAGTTGTGACGTAACAAGCAATTAACAAAATTTGAATTACGTCATTGTATTATTTCAATCGATTTCAATGAGTTTTTATTTTTTATTAATAGTTTCTATCTTGAGACGCGTAATGATAAAACATTTACCGTACCTTGTAAGGGCGGAACGCAGCATTTATAGTCCAAGTTCGGACAGAGCGGCACCCCCCATCGGTGTTGGTAGTACCGCGTACAGTTCGCTTCGCACGATCCTCTGAAATGCCGACACAGCTCCAAGGAGGCAAGGAATTCGTAGTCTAGCAAAGCTGTAGGGAACAAAATAATGACTGTATAGGTACAACAATAAAGGTAAGGTATACTGAACACGTTTAGAAACGCAACATTCACATTGAAGTTTTTATTTAATATTTTGAAGTGTTTTCTTGTTTTGAAATGTTACCGTGTTTGGTTGCAGTGACGAATGTGATGTGTGACGTCAAGGCATGTCTTTACATGTACAATGTTTTTGGAACCGCCCCCGGGACCGCGAAAGATCGTTGGTTCGATCCATGGGTGCGTCATACCAAAATGCGTATTACTAAAAAGATGGTACTTGTTGTTACCATGCCTGACGCTCGGCGTTTAGGGCATAAAACAAGGCCTGGTCGGCTCGGGGTCAGGGTGATGTGTCTGAGTAGGGTATCAATGTTAAACTGCGGCGTGGTATATATAGTTCTTCGTCTGAAAAAAAAGGCATCAGACCAACACACACACACACAAGTGCATGCACGTCGCGATACAAGATACACCTCACATTATTTTGGAAACGAAACATCTACAAATAATAACAAGTCGCCATAAACAGCACTATTCCATTATAGACTAATATTTTTTTCCAGAAATAAAGTTATCTTATTTAAAAGTATATATCTACAAAATAAAATGAAAAATATAAATGGAGCCCAGAACAATGTTTAATTTCAGGCTCTAGGCTTGCTTAATAATTCTAGTCTTGGGTTCATTTATATTTTAAATTTATTCTCCATAGTGCTACAACATTTAAGAGATATAACTGAAACACTTTATCATGGTAGACATGTGGAGGACATTTCCAAATTTGACGCATCAGTGACAATAATGATGACCTATTCGCTGTACCTGTACCATATGTTTGCAGGTAAACAATTGACTTGCCTTTGCGTGTGTTTTTTTGTGACGAGTGCCACAGGTGGGGCAGGATACGATCACCTTCACGCGAACACCTGGGATCATCACTATTTGAAAGTGATTTATAACACATGTTCATGATATACCCGGAATCCTACAATGGCAATGTTGGAAATGTTTTTTATCGCTTTATGTATCCCAATCACAATGATGAAACTTCACCATTTCGTTTTCCCGAAAAAGCAAATAACATCTGAAAAAACTATGTATACATCGTAATTTGGAAATATACGAGGAATAATATCTAAGAGAATCCCTGGCATTTCAGCTATAAAAATTAAATGACCATGACCACAGTTACTGAACGCGCGGATAGCAAACTCGCTCAAACTTTGCCAATTGTACACGTCATCATGCCGTCCACGGTGGAACATCCTGGCATGTGCCATGGTTCATTGATCGGGGGAGGGGGGGGGGGGGGGGGGGGGGGGGGGGGAGGGGAGGGGGGCTCGATTCCCAACATGGGTACAATGTGCGAAGCCCCCGCCGTGATATTGCTGGAATATTGCTTAAAGCGGCGTTAAACCATACTCACTCACTCATTGATCGGGTAAACGAAGGAAAATGCCTCCAAAAGTGTTCATGACAGGAAATGAAAAATTGGGCGAATAGGCATGATTGCAGCTGGCCAATCACAGAATGCAGTCGCTAGATACTTTGGTAACTCCCAAAGTGTGATATCCCGACTGATGTAACGATATAGGCAAACGGGTAGGGTTTCGATTAGGGTGGTAGAGTAAGGCCTAGCAAGACAACTCCCTCCAGGCAGGGTCGATATGTACGCATCACTGCGTTGAGGAACAGATACATTTCTGCACCAGAACTGAGGGACAACTGCTGCCACAGGGATCCGACTTTCTACGTCAACGACAAGAAACAGGTTGACGACTTCTGGTCTGAAATCAAGACGTCCTTCCAGGGGAATGCGTCTGGTTGTGACACACAAGCGCCACAGACAACAGTAGGCACTTCAGGGAGGTCAACAACAATATTGGAGATACACCATGTTTTCTGATGAACGCTTTACAGATGGTAGACAACGTGTTTGGAGACGTTTGAGAGAAGTACTATCAGGCAGTGGTCCAGGAGCGCGATAGGTACAGTGGTGGCATCATCGTGGTCTGGGACGACATCACGTACGACAACAGGACGGATGTGATGATGGTGCAAGGGAACATGACCGGTCAACGTTCTGTGGATCAAATGTTACCACGTCCAGTGGTCACCCCATTTGCCCAGTGCGATGTCAGAACTTTGAGTTCCAAGAAGACAACTCACGTCGTCACATAGCCCGTGTTGCAGTCGGCTGTGTGCAACCGACCTCAGTGTCACCAGAATTTGTAACAGCTCGGGCAACCCTTACAAGAAGAATGTCGAAGATACCACGGGAGACAATCCAGCGGTTGATACCCAGCATGTCCAAAAGATGTCGCGCCTGTTTCGATGCTCACGGAGCCATTCGTCACGAATCTCACGGAGCATGGATCAGATATTGACGTTACAAGGAAGATTGAATTCCACAACTTCATTTCTTTACATATCTTATCTGAGTAACTTTGGAGGTTCCCTTTATATTGTTAGTAGGAAAGTGACAGCCTTTAAACCCTGTTTGTCTGTATTATTGAAGATAAACACGTTTGTCCTGCGTAACTCAACAACGCAGAAGCCATCAGAAGCAATCCAACAAATTTACGTTGGTGATAATGTTTCCCTGACTGAAAGTCTATTACATTTAGCGTTACATGCACTATAGAAATACATCCGAAACCGCTCATCCAGATTGATACTTGGAATCTAAATGAGAATCCGTCTATCGATTGTTATACATTTAGATTATCACATAAAATACTAATCCTTTAGAACCTTTTTATTTTGCTACCGTGTTTTTAAATGGAGGATTGTCATATCCGTTTTTACTCCTTTGGGTTAAATCCTGAGCGTAGTGCGAGACAGCAGCCTTTTAATTAACAATTGATGATAAAGTGTCATTCAGTTCCTAAGCGTGACTACATTTCAAATCAATCCTTTACTTAAATAGACATTAAACATAACTGAAATAATACACAGTGGTTGTAAATACACTTTGCACATCGCGGAGTACTGGTCGCTGATTAATATGCCTTACCTTACTTTTAAACGAACACTTGGTATTATCACTAATTGTCAGTGATTCAAAAACTCATGCTCTTGATGTAGTCGGAAACGTTTAATGGACTCTACTTTTAGCAGATATTTATCATTATCATGGAAAGGGTTTTGCCGCTTTTATTTTGTACCATCTGATTAAAACTGTCCATACCCAATGAATAGCCGGTGCTACGAGCGAACGCATGGTAAATTAACCCACAGCCGCTGTCCCCATTTTCCCCATCTAACAGACAGACAGACAGATAATTTATTTGTTTCTCACCTCGTTACATTAATAATACATTGGAAATAAACTCTTTAAAAATATCTTAGTAAAAACAGCATATAAAGTAACGAGCCACTCCCTAAGTTATGAGAGACTGACATAGGTAAAAAAATGTATATTTTTCACATATATTACACCCGATAAAAAAGACTGCACAAAAAGAGACTAGTCTATAGTACTACTCGGTGTAGAGCATCCGATCTGGTTGTTAAAATATTCTTGCAGGTCTTGGCAGTTGTAAAAATCAATTCTGGGCTGGACAGCATAAAACCTAATTTCCGGAAATCACTAACATGTAGCCTGTAATCATGAAATCGTTTATTACACAATACAATCCTCTCCTTAAAAAATAAAACAATTAATTTTCCCAATGCTGATTAAAGCTGACTGGAGCTGGTTAGACTTGCTTTTATATAAATCTAGATTGTTTTTGTTTTCATAAAATTCCAAGTCATGTTTGCTGGCTGGATCACCATTTTGAATATAACCTGAACAACGAACTTAAATCCGATCGCAACACCAAAAAACTTTTTCATAATTTTTTTACATATCTAATAGATTTCTGACTACACTTAACATAAGAAGCCATGTTGAAATTCCACCTTTATTTATCAACCAAGTATGTCAGAATATAAAGCGTTGAAAAAATAAATGTTATCCCTGCCTTTGTCATATATTCATTAAGACTCATTACGATATTGATAAACGTCAGTGTCGTTGTATACCCCCTGATGGTGTGTGTGTGACGTTCCCGACAGGGCGTTACAAACAGCACCAATCTGTCCACGACAGAATAATTTTCCTTCGAGTAGAACCATCGGACCCCTGGTGATAGAGAAACCATTCCTTCCAATGACTGGATGAAGAATGTTCCCTTTATAGCCGCACCAAGCGCTCATCCTGACGAGAATACTCCCTAGAGGGCTATTTTAAGTAATACACAACAGAGACACACTTCACTTCCGCAGGAAATCCGTTCTGATAGCAGGGGCATTGGAAATGTATTCATAAAGAGATAGAGTTGACTGAGGTCAAACCAATCTAGATTCTGAAGTATTTGGCTGGGGCGGTACAGCGGTCACGTAGACACAGTCCATCATCACTGACATGAACCAACTGACCCACAGCTGATGTTTACGTGCTGACGTAACGGTACATTTTAGACGGACTTTAAGAGATGTTATTATAAGAAGGTCAAACCAATCGACTTACTGGAGTAATTGGCTTGCGCGATACAGTGGTCACGTAGGTACCGCCCATCTTCACAGACATAAAGTAATTGACCCAAATCTGGTACTTTCGTGTAGAAATGAGTGAGTGAGTGAGTTGGGTTTATCGCCGCTTTGAACATTATTACCGTTATATCACGGTATGTCAGCTTAATGTGGGAGGAAAGCCTGACGTGATGCAGGTTTGAGACTTTTGCGACTTTGGTGAAACCCATGAGCAAATGCAGGTAAGATGCTGACAAACCTAGAAACATAATCGGGGTGAACCGGGATTCGAACCCACAATCATAAATTCCTGGCGAACCCAAGAGACGCAACTCTGCACAGCGCATTGTGGTACCTTAGGAGACTAGGTTATCTTTGTCCGCCATTACGTTATGGACGCAACGGGGCGGTGGGTTATCCTTGTGGTTAAAGCGTTCGCTCGTCACGTCGATGTCCGTGGTTCGATTCCCAA